TTTTAATAGTGTTAAAAATAAAAATACTTTATTTACTTTTGCATAAATTTCATATTTTTAGACGAACCTCGTACACGACTGAAAAAATGTGATATATAAAGGTTGTATTTTCGGTTCTAGACCGCGCAGAACTTTCCATGAAGAATAACATTTTTTCACAAAACTAATAACGTTTCCCATATGGTTCAGACTCAAGTAGACACACTCTATACGGGGTGACAATTTAAAAACGTACAATCGACTATATCTCGAGAACAAAAAGAGGAGACACCTTTTTTCCTTATTAAGATCAATCGATTGTTTGTAAGTTTCTAAACTATCGCCTCGTATACGCGTTTCTGTGTGTGTATCTCCGTACAAAAAAATCCACGCTAAACAAATCAATTATTACAATAATTATCAATTGTTTATCTACACATCCAAATTGCGTTATCCTCAATCTTCTTCTTCCGGTGCGCTTCTTCGCGCCAATCGCTCAGCGCGAGTCGTCGCCTCAGAATCTACAAAAAAACAATTCAACAACGTCACAATCGTATAACGACGACAATGTTTATGAGTTGAGCCGCACGTTGGGCGCCAATTTTGTTACGTTTTTTCATTGTTGTACTAAGATTCGGAGATCAAGTAAAACATAAATTATATTTTTTTATTTATAGCATAGAGGGGTAGGAAATTGTAAATACCTAGTATGATTTATATCAATTGACACAATATATGATCATACTATTTTCAATTTTGTTACAAATAGAAAAGAAAAAAGTAATAATTGTTAATTATTGTCAATAATGTAACAGCAGTTATGAATTTGACATTTCACCAAAGGTGTGAGAAAGCAAACTAAAAAGCGGCGTTAGTGAATGTTAAAAGCAATTTATTTTTACAAAAAATACTGTTTTCTGGCTATACTAATACCTGGTGTGTTATATCGCAGATTATTTTTACATGTTTTTGAAAAAGATTCGAAACACACTTATTGTCATTTCTGGTCAAATGACAGAAGTTAACGATTAGGCAATCTAAATCGTGAAACTTTAAATGGCAGATAATTGACAAAATCAACAAAAGTAATATTTTGTGGCAACAGTTTTCAAGTTTTTAGTTAAAAAATGGTAAAAATTAGCATTTATTAACACTAAATATATTTACCTTAGGCTCCGATTTAAATAAAACAGGAACTTTTAGAACGGCCATACTCAACCTGCGGCCCTCAAAGCTTTTTTGCAGCCCAAAACACTATTATGATGGTGCTTGTTAGAACTAAAGGTTTCTATTTTTAAAATCTTGAGCGAATTGCGCGAACACATTCATCGCTGACTGCGCTAAATATCACGCTAATATTTAAATAAACGTTTGGATCGTGAGGATACTGAAAAAACAAGATAAATCCACTTTTGTCATCCAAAATAGTTCAAATAATAATAATAATATACGGCATGAAAAAGACAAGTAGAATGAAGTCTACATTCATGATAAACAGATGACCAATAAAAACTAACTCCATAATAATACATTCACAAATAAAATGACTGACATTATACCGAAACATAATCAATCATAACATTGTTTTCAATTGCTAATAGTTTCTACCAAAACCAGAGAAGAGACACAACTTATTTTTGCTAAATATACTTAGCCGATTCTGCCAACACTTATTTTTGTTGAAATACTTCAAACATTTTGCCAAAGCCAAAACTTTGCAAATTAGGTGCTACACCTGAAGAATTTCACCATTATTAGTGGAATATACATACAAATTCAGTTCAAACCAAAATAACCATTGCAAAAATAACCTGTATATAAAATTCAGCTAATTTGACTGAAAGCAAATTACCATAAGGGAACTGCGAGGATTTTGCAGTGATTTACAATCTCAAACACTAATGAAATTGAGGTCAACAAATTTTGTTATTTTTGTCAATCATCTGCCATACTGGCAGGATGTTGCGTTGTATAATCGACAATGCAAGTTCGTAAACTGTCACATATATATGCATGTCAACTTTTAATTATAAAGCAGGAATTTTCTAATATTCATCAAAACTCTTTTTTCATCAACAATTTTTAGACGATTCTAAAATTCTCAGATGTCACCAAATCTATCTTCTTTTTCTATCAATGCACCTCTTAACATAACCCTAAATTATTAGACAGAAAAATCTAGTTCTGAATTAAAAAAAAAAACAATATTGAATTATATATATTTTACTTTAAAAATTTCAGGATTTCATTGGTTACTCAGGATTACATTGGTTACGTGATCTATCAACATTTTGATGAATATTAGAAAATGTCTAGCGCCTCATATTTATTTGTCACTTGTCATAAAAATTTGGAACACGATGGGAGTGGAATTTGGATGAAAGGGTATGAAAATAAAAAAAAACTCGTTTTATAATTTAGATTATATAAATATTGGCAAAACTAAGTCATATCCATATATCATCAACTTGAAGTGACATTTCAAAAATGTATAATTCGCTATTTATCGTGTAGCTGAGACTGAGTATAATTAAATTTTAATTTTTTTAGTAGTAGAACCGGCTGATAAGTTTCATATATACATAATTAAAACGGTACATTATTGTTTAAACCCTGTATAAATTATACATAGCATATTTCTTTTCTAACAGATAGATAATACTTTGGAAAAAATATTTTCGTCCAAATAAGTTTATTATTTTAATTGATTTTTCAATATATATTTAAAAAAAAAAACCAATTTACAAATAAATTTTTCTAAAATTAGTTACAAAGGATTATTATGTTTTCATTTTTTTTATCAGATAATCCATATCCTTTTTTTATTACAAACCCAGCACATTTTGTTCATCGATTTCAATCAATCAAACTTCACTATAATTAAATCATATATATATATATCGTGTCGAGGTTACTAAATAAAAAAAATAAACAAAAAAAAACTACAACACTACAATATCTCTTTACAAGTTACAAAAATATATATATAATTAAATCAGGAGAAAAATATAACAATTTTAAATAGGAGGAAAATTAAGAGGATGTGTTTGTTATGTGTATACAAGATTTATTTATTTTATTAATCGCTCAGTGTGTGGGTGTGCAAAACAATAATAAGCGATCCCTCTACCGGCCATAAACGAAACCACCTAACCAACTAAAAAAAAAATGCCTTATATTTTACATTTGACGAAAAAACTGTCAAAACTGTTCTTTAAATAACAAATTTTGAAAAGAAACTACTCTAACAATTGTTACTTTTATTTAACGTTTGACAGGAAACCTCCCAAAAATGTCTAAAGAGACAGTCGTCAAAATAGTCACATATTTGACGTTAGACAGAAAAATCTGACATAAATCCATTTGTATTAGGCGTTTGACAAAAAGTATTATTTGGGATTGACTTTTAAAAGAAAACAGTAACTCCTTTGAAATTTAGAAAACCTGTCACTTATATGTAAAGTGTGACAGACATTTTGTTAACGTTTAATATAAATTGTGTAATAACTGACAATTTATTTAACTTTTGGCAGGAAACTTGCCGAACATGTCATGTAGGTTTGATGTCAAAAGGGACAGTCATCATAATAGTCACATATTTGATGTTTAATCTGCCGTAAATTCATTTGTATTTGGAGTTTGAGAGAAAGCTTTACAAAAAGTGTCACTTGGGAGTGATTTCTAAAGGAATAATTTGTCAAAATTGTAACTGTCACTTATGTGAAGTTTTACAGAAAGTCTGTGTCACTTAGGCTTGTCGTCTAGAAGAGATTTTACAATATTAAAGTTGTAATGTCGGTTTGTAAAATGACATTTCCGTCAATGATGCTTTGTTTTAAATTTGCATAACAAAATAAAAAAAAAACAATTAAAATTATCACTTATGATTGACGTTAAACATATTGTGTAACAACTGTCACTTTTATTTAACTTTTGACTAGAAACCTCATTAAACGTGGTTTGATGTAAAAAAAATAGTCACATATTTGACTTTTGATAAAAATCTGTCATAAATTCATTTGTATTTGGCATTTGACAGGAAGCCTTTCAAAAAGAATCACTTCTAGATGAAAAGTCTGTCAAAATTGTAACATTTGTAGCTGCTGTTAATATACTCCATTAACTATTTTAGCTCCAAACAACCTTTTCAGCGTTTATTCCGATTAGTACATCTGTCCCGCTCCAACTCCTGTGCAAACCCACCTTTTGATGTCAAGAGAAAAATCTGTCAAAGCTTTCACTTATATGTAAAGTCTAACAGAAAGTCTGTATCACTTAGGATTGTTGTCTAGAGGAAAATTTATCAAAATTTTTACTTAATGTGTTTAATAAAAACCTGGAGAAAATTTAATATTATAATATTGGTTTCAGTGGTTCCCTTTACAAGAGCATATTTGTTTTAAACGTTTGTGGACGTGGTATCACCTTTTCAGATGTTTAAAAATATCAAGTGTCCTAAAAAATTAGGTTGGGATCAGTTTTAATTTTGTAAAGGACAAAATTAAAGTTATTTTACGAAAAAGATAATGTCTGTCTTAGTATGAGATATTTTTCTTCTTGATCCATATTTTTTGTGACATTAATAGTACCAGTATTTTTATAGGCCTGGATGATGACCCTATGGCCGAAACCTGCTGCCATGTAATTTTGTATTAATAAAATATTTTTAGGTCTGATTGATTTTTAGTGTCATTGTCTTACTATAGTTTTCTTTTGTTGCCCATAATTGTCTTTATTTTTTCAATTTTACACATGGACCGTTCAAAAAGTTTATTTAATAAAAATGTATCGTATATTTCGTCAATTATTAATAAAACAACCCCATTATGATGTCATGGGAATGGGGTGGTAATACATTGCGATCTAAAATATTTATTGTGTCCTTATCATAGAAACAAATAAAACCAACCTCCAACTGCCATATGAACTGTCAATTTGAAAACATTTAAAAAGGCGTTACACTCCCACAGATTTCCTCCGCATTTAAAACCACTAACACAGACAGACACAAAACAGCCTTTCTACCTACTTTTGCTTGTGCTTGGCGAGCTCTTTTCCTCCTTCCCATTGGCCGTAGAGGTCGCAGAAGACGAGGCAGCAGCGGCCGCGGTTTTGGCCGGTTGCGGGATTATCGTGATCTCGTCGTTGATTTTCAACGGTTTGAGTTGATCAGCCGTCGAAGTTTTAGTGGCGGTGGTCGAGCCGCCGGACGCACCGGGCGCGACGCCTTTCTTATCCATGACACGCTTGGCGACGACGCTGTGGGCGGAATAGACGTGGTTTTCGAACTGTTTGTACATGCCGAAGGTGGCCGTGCACACCGTGCACTTGTACGACAGATGGGCCGGTTTCAGCGTCATGTTGTGGTCGCGGGCTACGTGGTTCAGCAGTTTCCATTGGTACACCTGTTGGATTTGAAAAATAATATTCAAAACGACTTCTGCGGTTGATATATTGAATTACAATTACATTCTTTTACAAAACAATTCAGTCATATTTCTTACAATTCACTGCTTTGTACTAAGCAATGTATGTAATACAATTTAAAAAAGTTTTAATTAACTTACAAAGCTCTATGTAGTTATTTATTCAACAATTTACTTACACATTCACCGTATTGTAAAAAAATCATATTGTTTGTTAATTAAAATAGGACGTACCCTTCCGCAAACAGGACACCGTCCCGAATCCTTGCTCTTGTTAGCCGCGTCCTGCATACTAGACGTGACCAATCCGTGCGAACCCAACAAATGTCGCTCCAATCCCTGATCAGTAAAGAACCTAAACTGACACTTCTGACAATTTAAAGGCGGCCTATTATAGATCATCTTCGGATGAATCTTGATCTTATGTATCCACTGCATGTGGTTCCTGAGCTGTTCTAAGTCCTTGATGTAGCCGTCGCAGATTTCGCAAATGACGAACGAGTTCTTGGAACTGGTATCGCCGGGTTTGGCTCCGCCCGAGGAAGCGGGTGACACGGTGGCCGTTGTGCCGCGAGGTAGAGGCGTTATAGATATGCTCGGCTGTTGAGCGGGCTTTTTTCCTGACGCGGATTGATTCGCTTGGTTCTGCAAAGGGATTTTTATTCGAATCAACGATTGAGACGGAAATTAGGAAATAAAAAATGTGAGTGTAATAGATTTTATGGAATATTTTTTTTGACGACTAATATTTTACATAATACGAAAAACTTCTTTTTGATATAGTTTCTTGCATACTTTCAATAAATAAAAACATATAAACATATTTTGTTAAAAAGAGCAGACCATTAATCTTATGACTAGAACAAAAAAACTACTTAGTAACACAATGTTAGTTATTTAATAGGCTTGTAACTAATAAAGAAATAAAACACCAAAAGCCATATAAAAAAAAGCCCATTAACGCGTCATTGTTGTTAACAATAATAATTGTTAATAATTTTAATTATAAAAAAAGCGGGAAACAATAAACAGTACTTTACAACAGCCAATTGGAAAAATGTAAGTGTCTTATAATCGTATTACTTTGACTAAGAAATTTATATAGGGGCTGTTATAGAGTACGAAGCAATACAGTATATTTATTTGAGCACATTGGACAACTTTTCTACCAGTTTTAAGTCGATATTTCGATTAATTTTACAAATTTTAGAGAATCAACACAGAAATATCAAAATTAAAAACCAAAAATGGAACCCTGAAGTACACGAACTACATTCTTGCTACAGATTAATCATTTAATTCTTAAAAGTAGACTTAAAACTGGATATAAAAGCTGCCAAATACGACCCCAAAAAGAAATAAAAAAATTACAATGAAAAAAAAAAAATTAAAGAAACATTCAGGCAAATCGAAAAATGGAGATTCTCGTCGTTACCTGAAGGGCCATTGAAGTGCTAGAGGCGGAAGGCATGTTGGGGAGAAAGACGTGGCCGGGGTTACCAAGCCGACCGCCACTTATCTCTTGTCCTCCCACCACCTAACACGCACCACACAGAAAAAAAGACAATAAGTAACATACGTTATGGACCAAATTACAGAAAAAGCGATAATATACCAAATTGCATTTTGTGGACACGATTGCAGGCCTTTGTGGTCAAAATAAATGTTATCTTTTTGGTTGCTATCTTACCGTAATTAGTGAAAAAAAAAAAAACGTTTAAATTGATTCTGTAGTTTTGAAAACAACAACAAAAATTCTGACATGACAAATTTAAAATCCAACCATTTAAAAAAAATAAAAAATCAAAGGCCATTTGTTGGTCACGTGATCTATCAAAAATACATCATTTTATTAAATTAGGTAATTCAAATCACGTGACTTTAAATGGTGGACGATTGGCAAAAACAACAAAAGTGAGATTGTTAGTCTTAGCATGTATTGTTTTGGAGTTTTAGAGTTTTTTCTAGCGTTCAGTTGAAGAATGGCAAATATTAATATTTATTAAGAATATATTAATAAATGTGAAGAAAGTCATGTCAACAAACTTTATTGTTTTTGCCAAGCATAGGCCATTTTTGCCCATTCTGACAAGAGGTTAGATTGTATAATATTATAAAATACCCAAAGACTCGTAATGAATAATTTTCGAATGACAGATGCTTATCACGATTCTGATTCACTCCCTTAAAATTTGAAACTTTAGCATAATGGACCAAATGACAGAAAAAACGATTATATATTAAACTCCATTTTGTGGACATGATTGCAGGGCTCAGTGGTCAAAATAAATGTGCTTTATCTTTTTAGTCACTATCTTACTGATATTAGTGAAAAAATACGTTTTTAAATTGATTTTGTAATTTTGAAAACAACCAAAATTTATTTACAAAAAAATAGATCAGTTTTCATTTTTTTTTTTACAAAATTAGATAGATGCTGAAAATTTTAAAATAAAAAAATAGTAAATAGTTTGATGATCGCTATAAAAATTGATAAAATTGCTATAGTATGTGCTCTTAAATATAGCTATAAAAATCGCTGATTAGCAATGATTTAAAAGTTACTATAAAAAAAAGTTGAACAAAAAAATTGCTATAAAAACATTACAAATTTGACCACAAATCTCCATCGATGTATGTATTTATAAAAAATTTATAAATACACCTCCTTAATACTAAAAAAATAATTTAAAAAAGCGACCACCTACCTGGAACACCTGGTTACCGCTCAACTGATAACTGGTGGGTACCAACACAGACCCACCTCCAGATACAGTCTGTTGTTTGAACACCATACCTGGCGGTCGTATCAATGAACTCTGAGGCTTTATGTTGATATTCGTACCTAGCGACGGACGACCTCTACCCCTACACACAAAAAAATTCATAAAAAAAAAACAAAAATTACCATTTTCTTATTATTAATAAGGGTCAAAACAGAACCCTGAAGTACATGTAAATGTGTCCCACCTGTTGAGGACGTTTTGAGTACTCTGTAGCTGCATCTTAGACAGGAATTGGTACTGCGTCGTCTTGGACATGGCCTGGTATGCGGCCGCTGTGGCATTAAGACCTTGCTGTCTCATTTTAGGCACTCTTGGTATCTTCGCTGGCGGTTCCCAATCAACCGGGGGTTCCAGGTTCCGTTCGGGCTTGAATTTTCTCATACACGTCACCAAATGCCGAGAAAGTTTACCTATTTTAAAGAGATGATGTTATAACTAAGGTATCGTAAATATCAAATGCGCAGATAACAAAAAAAAAAAAAAATGCTATGAAAAATTTGTAAAATAATAGATCGCTATAAAAAACATTGTACAAAATTGCAAAATTAAAGGCAAACAAAAAAATTCCAAATGTATTACAAAAACTAAAAAACTATACAACAGAACAAAATCAACTGTATTCCAAATTATTTACGAAACTGATTAGATTTCTGGATAACATAAAAAATAAACTTTTTTAAATTAGCATAAAAAAATTGTTATAAAAAAATCAAAGAGTGCTATAAAAGTCCGTTGAAAAACAATACACATAACGACACTCACCTTTCTGGTTATCCTCAAACGGACAATTGGGACACTGATGGAAGGCGGGTGCTCTCTCGAGATGCCCGCGCACCGCGTGTTCCGCCTCCATGTGAAACAAAATATCGTGCGGGCTCCGCACCTCGTACGCGCAAAAATTACATTTGTACACGAAATTCTTCATGTGCGGTGTCTCCAAATGGTATGACATCGCTAACGCAGACTCGGTCTTGAAATTGCAAAACTCACACTTCTTTAACACAGTCTTGAAGTGGCCATTGTTTTCCTTCGAGAACTCGAGGTTCTTAATCAGCGACTTGATGGTCTTTTCGGTTTCGGGATTGGAGCCACCCTCGCGGCTGTGTTTCCGCCTCTGCTGCTTTAGCAGATCGGTTTGGACGAACTCTTGAACGAAGTTTAGACCGATGTTGATGAAGAATTTGCCCAGTGGGCTGTCGAAGTACGAGTACGGCTTCTTCGGATCTTCCGCGTCCTTTTTGATCTCCGGTACGTACATAGGATCGGTCTTGTCCTAAATTATTTAAATAGTTTTACATACAAGTGTGCCAAAAATATGAACTGTTATAAAAATATATTTAATTTAATTCAAATTCTTTCAAAATCGACGATAGTTTAAGAATCGCTGTAAAAAATACTGGTTTAACAATTACTAAAAAAATATCTGATTATGAATTGCTATAAAAAATACTGGTTTATGAATTGCTAAAAAAATCCTGGATTATGAATTGCTAAAAAATACTTGATTACGAATTGCTAACAAAATATTGGATTACTAATTGTTACAAAAAATACTGATTTAAAAATTATTATAAAAAATTAATTGTTAAAAAAATATTGGGTCACGAATTGCTATAAAAAATACCAAGTTAAAAATCGTTATAAAAAATAATATATAGCAAATTGCTATCTAGCCTGTGAACAAAATAAAAAATAATCGCTTTAAAAAACTGGTTTAATTGCTAAAAAATACTGGAGTATAAATTGCTAAAAATATACTTATGAATTGCTAAAAAATATACTTGATTATGAATTGACGTAAAAATACTGCTTTAAAAATCTTTATAAAAATACTGAAATGCGAATTAATTACAAAACAAAATGGCTCATACATAGTATTTATCACTAACCTCTTTTTTAATTTTTTCCTCCTTTACGTCCTCTTTCTCATCCTCATCACTCTTGCCGCTATCGTCCTCATCCTTTTCGGCTTTCTTTTCTTCCTCCTCTAAGGCCTTCCTGCACGCATCAATCTGTGTCTGAATATCCTTTACGAAATCCTTAAAGTCCTTCACCGGGGGCTTTTCGTACACGTAGGGTACGATAAAAGACGGCGCCTCCACCACGAACATGTCGTCAGTCAACGTGGGTAACAGCGGCGTCGTCATGGCCGGTGTAATCGTAGCAGGGGAGAGTTTAGGTTGGGGCTGGGGGGTAAGCGAAGCGGCGTTCACGGGAATCGGGGTAATCGTTGCTCGCATGTTTGGAGGGTACATGCCTTGAGCGGGCAGCGCCATGGGAAGGACAGTTTGGTAATTGGACGAGGATATAGCATTGGGTTTGGTGTTGGTATTGGTATGCATGGGAATGGGACCACGACCTGACAAAATTGAATTAGTATCTATAATCACCAGAGTTGGTTCTTTTTTACCCTGAACCGAGTTGGTCGATTTCGAAGCTATTTCCACTAACTTTTTAGTGTCATTCACGACGATCGCGGGAGCCGGTTTCACAATAGGTTTCGCTTTCTCCGCGGGTATCCTTTCGACGGTGATAGCGTCGTTGCAGGCCAAAGGATCCTGAGGCAGGACCTCTTCCACGTCGGATTCCTCTTCTTCTTCAACTGCTGGGACTTCGGCGGGGATTCGTAACGGTGGAGTTTCGGATAGGGGTTGCGTAGATAGACCACTGCGTTTTTCCTCTTTGTCACTGTCTTCTTTGTCGCTTTCAGCGTACGATTTGTTTTTGTTCAAGTTCCGAGAGCTACGTCTTAAAATGATACAGTTATAACACAGCTATGTGCGCAAATTTCAGATTGTTAAAATCGTAATAAACATTTCAAAGTATATGACGTTGACTTAAAGGACACTAAATATTATTACTGAATCTAATACCATAAATATATTAACTTACCTAGGAGTGATGCAAGGCTTCGCAGACTGCATCTGTTTTTCAGGGGTCGCCAAATCTATAATTTCGCCATTTTCCTTGGGACTATCACCTTCATCTCCATCTACTATCATTACATCTCCTTCGTCTTCCCCACCCGAATCGTTCAATTCAATAGGATCACTATTACTAATTTTATTACTTTTACTATTATCTTCCTCTTCATCATCATCAGATTCTATTTCATGAATTTCGATGAATTTCTCTTTGATGAAATTATCCTCAAACTTTTTGGCAGACTTTTCTGAACCCTCGGTACTCTGCTGGCTAGTTTCGTCCTGTGCTGATTTGGAATTTTCATCCTGTGCCGATTTGGAATTCTCATCCTGTGCCGATTTGGAATTTTCATCCTGTGCCGATTTGGAATTTTCATCCTCGTCGTTAGTTTCTTCGTTAACTTTAGACTCATCGTCGTCTTCACTAGCCTTTGTTCCTTGGCTACTCTCGTCTACGTTTTCCTCGGAACGTTGTTCAATTATCTCTTCGTTTGCTTCATTATCAATTTCATTATCATCATCATCATCAATGTCTTCAGATTGATTAGTAATTTCTTCTAAGACGGCTTCTTCTTCGGTGATATTTTCAATTTCTTCATTGCTTTCTTCTGCTTCATTACTTTGTTCAGCTTCTTTGCTATCTTTGGTATCGACATCGTTTTCGTCTGTGTCCATCGGTTCTGGAAGGCTCGCTGATTTTTTGATATTGCCCTGACTGTCTTGGTTCTCTTCCATGATTGCATCATTGGACAAGTCACCATTCGTAATTATGTTACCTGGAAGTAGAGGAATGACAGCAAAATAAGAAGACCTAATAAAGGACTAAATTAACACTAACAAAAGGAATATTAAGGAAGGTATTTCAGGAACAAGAATATCAAGCAGTTTTAGGACGTGAGTGACACCGAAATTGTAGTAAAAAGAAGAGAAAAAACAAGTCTAGCTAAATGTTTGCAAGACTATTCATAAAACTGGAAAAACTACAAAAAAATTTATATTAACTGATCTAAAACCATACAGGAAATTTTGAATTAGTTTAGATAGAAGAACTTTGGTCTATAGCCTAAATATTATTAAAAACTATGTTAATAACTAAATATATAATAATAATAATAATCTTTATTTTGAAGAACAATCATAATACATATAAGTAGGACAATTTTTAAACAAAACAGTGTCAAGGAAAATATATTAATGATCATATAGAGTAATATTCATTAATTGTATATCTAAATTAATTAACAATTTATGTACTTCCCTTTTAAATACTTTAAAATTTGCTAATCTTTTTATTGCATCAGGCAGTTTATTGTACAACTTTACACAGCTGTACCCTGCTCCATGTTCTGTAGCTGTCAGCTTATGTATTGGATATACTAGGTTTATATTTCTCAATATATAAGCATTTGTTGGTTCAAAATTTGAAAATAAACCTCTATTTTTAAATAAAAAAATTAAGCATTCCTGGATGTGTATGCCTATCACAGTTAAGATTTTATTTTTCTCTAAATTTACCTCTACATGACTATCTCATATTCAAACTGAGCATCCACATTATTCTTTTTTGCACTAAAAAAACCCTTTCAATTAAATTGCTCCCACCATAGAATATTATCCCATATCTTATTCTGGATTCAAAATTTGCAAAGTATACCATTTTTAAACTATCCCATTCCAAATATTTCTTCACAACTCTGATGCTGCAATATATCTGGCTCAGTTTTTTTACATACAAACTCAACATGGCTTTCCCAGCACTGAAAACTATCAATATATAGCCCCAGAAACTTGGTACTAGTTGAGACCATAAATATAGTTGTTTAGTTGAATATTTATAGGCATTTATCTCTGTTGTAATTGGTTTTAAAAAGTACTACATTTGTTTTGTCCTCATTGAGTATTAATTTATTTAGGGTTAATTCCATCATATTAGATGCATTTATTAAGATATTTGTGTCATCTGCATAATTGGTTAGCACACAGTTCTCATTAGCAATCTTAACACTGTTTAGTTCAATCTAATAAATAATAAACATCAATGGACCTACTATACTTCCCTGAGGTATTCCTATATTAGATGTCATTTCTACAGATCTACCTTCCTCATTATTTTTATATATTTTGACAACCTGTTTCCTATCCTTAAGATATGATTTGAACCACCCTAATGCAGGCCCCCTAATTCCATATTTCTCCATACAAATACTGATGTAGTTATAATTTTAAAGGTTCTTAGGATAAACTTTAATCTTGGTAACCCATTAGAATCATTTATGTGCCCTTTTTCTTAAATAGAAACCAGAGTTGAAATACTTTTAATATAAAAGTTATTTCTAAATTACGTTTATTGATTACTTAATTTAAAAAGAACTACCTGAAGATAAAAATAGAATCAAAAATGAGCTAATAAAGGTGAGATCATTTCAATAATAAAGCAAATCAATTATACCTGTTTAAAATTTTGAAATCATAAGTTCAAAATAATAAAGTCTATTAATAAACAAAAAGCACTCTTGTGGATGTTTAAGAAACAATTTGATGAGACTACATGGTTGACAACCACCTACATCTTCAGTTAAGTCCACTAATGCCAAAAAGGGACAAATAGAGCCAAAAGAGAATACTCCACTTACAATGATTATTAATTAAGAAAAACCAGCCTAAAGTATCATTTTTTGATAAAACTAGCTTTTCTTGGAGAAACATTTTTATTAAAAAATGTAAAATTTTGATTAACAGAAGCCCTGGCCCCATATATACTCAGCCCTAGGTGCTAGCCTAACTTTAAAATTAACTTATTGGACCCTATGCTACAAAATACAGACTTCTTGATACATGTATGGGTAATATGGTTGACTTACCTTCTTCCTTAGAAATCATATCCTCAACCTCCCCCATTTCTGCTATAGCTGCCATAACCAGTCAGTCAGAACTGTCAGAATGAGAAAAACAAATTAATTTTCATACAGGGTTCACTGGAAAGGAGGAATGTAGGACTGCACAGCATGCTGATTTGGTATAGTGGATAAGTCTATAGGAATATAATAATAATCTTTATTTGCCTCAATTAAAATTACAATTTAGATTTAAAAAAAATACATGTATATAAAAAACGAGATACGTAAATAAGTAGACACCCATATATTCATGGCAAATAGAGTGTACATTCACAAAAGCAGGCTTGTGCCTGAATGCAGTAGTTCATTTATCATGAAAAATAGATGTATAAAAATTAAATTAAAAAGTATACATTTATAAAAGGAAATGTTTGAGATTCACATAATAGAATTTTAAACAATTTAACTGTAGAATATAATATAAATATGGGTCGTAGTATGGCATAACATTACTCTAATTGGCAAATATCGAAAGTCCCCTTTTATGAGTTGCTTATGTACTCTCATTGTTTCCATTGTCTCCTATAAAAATTAGTAAAAATGGACTTCCGACTTTTGTGAATTAGGGTAATGATATATTGCTTGAATTTTTATTATTCATTAATACTTAAAACAATAACTTATATTTTCAAACAATTAGTAAGCTACCATATTATTCATCTTTTTGCCTTGGATATAAAATTTTAATGTAAATTAAGGTAATAATTTTGAGTGTAAAAACCAATGAATAAAACATTTTCTCTGTGGCTAAATAGCTACAGTTTTTGATAAGATATGAAACCTGGTGATTCATCTCAAGCAGGATATCTCTGAGTAGGCTAAGTAAAATAATAAATTGAAATTGTTTTCATAAGGAAGTAATGGAAACTAAAAAAATTAAATATAACTCAGCTGTAAATGAAAAGGTGTTGATTGCTATTGCTATTTATGCCTTTTTTTCTGTAATCTGGTGAATACCTGTAGAAATTAAATATTATTATTATTGGGGCCATATTTTTTTATTTATATGTAATTATTTTAATTTTTGATAATAGTATCATTTATTCTTATCATGATGTGTATCTCATTGGAATTGATGTATATCAAAGATTAAATTAAAGTGCACAATGCAAAATATTATTTCACCAACTTATAGAATTATAAAGACTTACATATTTTAAATAAATTATTTTCGATAATAAGCAAGACAATGCTTAAAATTTAATTCTATTAATTTTGATTTTTGGCAACAATTTCTAAGTGGCTCAGAAATTTAACTCATAAAAATCAGTTGGAACAGTTAGAAATAGAATTTATTCATCTTTGAGAATTATACACTATACAAAGACACTAGGTACATAATGTAAAATCCTATCAGACTAGTCAAAAAAGTGTTAAGTAAAATACATTAAAAAATAAAATAAAATATACATAATAGACAATTCATGTTAAGATTAGTTTAAAAGTTAAAAAAATCTTCTATACTATAAAATACATTATTTACAAGAAAATCATTAGGATGTTTTCTTAAATAATTACGACTAATTTGATGATAACCTGTAGAATCTTCTAATATGTTACTGAACTATTGTAACACTTAATCCCAATATATTTTGGTGAATGCTGGCTTATTTGTAGTCGTGAAAAAGGTTGATGGATATTAAATTTTAATCTAGTATCACATGAGTGCAGGTCTTCATTTTTCTTAAATATATGCTCATTATCTTTTATCTATAAAATTAGTTGAAAAATAAAAAGGGAAGGTAGTGTTAAAATTTGTGTTTTCTTAAAAAGTTCTTTACATGATGTTGTTGGTGTCACCTTATACATGGCTCTCAGAACCTTCTTTTGAGATACAAAAGCTCTTTCAAAGTATGGTGAAGAACCCCAAAATATTAACCCATATTGTAGAGTTGAATGAACCAAACCAAAATAGCATAGTTTTAAAGTATCAAAAGATAGTGTCTCCCTTAAATTTTTGATGATATAACAACAAGTACTTAATTTTGAAGTAACCATTTTTATATGAGCTTCCCAATTTAATTTGATATCTAATATTAGTCCTAAAAATTTTATGTCATCAACACTTTGAATAGTTTTTTTTTTAAATATTCCCAAAATTTCATGATCGACATTTTTATAGTTTCTTAAAAATGAATTATGAAACAAGACAATTTTAATTTTACCAATAACCCCTAAAAAACAATTTATTTTGTACAAATTTCCTGAGACAACTTTAAGACACTTTTTAATGCCTATAAAGCTAAAGTCATAAGCCCATAGATCCGACTTATGCTATAAGTATTTTTGTCATTTTTTCCTATTTATTAATTTTTTTGTTCCTAGCAAAAAAATGCTGCAAACCTGATTCTGATATATCTCATAGAAACAGAGACACAGCACTTTTCACTCTAGATTAAGCTAGCATAGCTAATGCTACTTACGAACCATAGGAGCAAAACAAATTAGTATTTCTAAAGCAAAAAATTAGCATAAAAATATGCTGTAAATCCGATTTTGATATATCTTATAGTACCAAAGATACCTACAGTACTTGCCATACTAGGTCAAGTGTTATTAAGCAAGCATAGAGCATAGCCAAGCCAATGTTTTTCGGTAATGGCAGGAGCAAAAAAAAATAAAAAAAATTGGAAAAAATAACAAAAATTAGCCAAAAAATATTACATAAGCCTCTCTGCAGGCTCAAGACTTTACAAACATAGGTTTTTTGTTATTTTTAAAATTTCAAGACACTACATATTATTATGATTAAAGATAATACTTGACAATACCAGTTATAACTTATCATTTAATTATTTTAAATTTAAAACCACCATTATATTGTGTATAACACCTAGTTATATCTATAAAAACAAAAATCAAAATGACCAATCTTGTATGATTAAGAACAAATGCATTTCACATTAATGACATTATTGTTTTTGTCTAATTTTTGAAATTCATAATTAGCTCTACAAATTTGAGCATAACAACAATTCCAATGATTATTCATTTATTTGATGTTGCAAAAAATACTGAATCTTGAACCATTATTACTTGCAAAATTAAAAATAATACAAAAAAGTTGGTAAATAATATAGGTAAGTTACTTAGTTTTTATTTTAAAATGTTTTATTGGGTCAGTTAATAATAAAACTAGCCTAAAAAAATATTTGAAAACTACTATAAATAATATAAGTAAATATGTAGTAAGAAGGGCTTTTTTGAAAAACAACAAAACTTAATTTAAAGTGTGATATGAAAGAAAAATAAAAACTTGTTTACAAATAAATTGTTTTTATAAATACGAATCGCCTTGAAACCTAAAATTTGTCACGACTACAAATTATTACAAAAAAAAGTGGCAATTCTTTTAGTCATACTTGGGGAAAAAGACCCTTTAAAAAATTTTGACAGTACTTAATTTACAAATGTAAACAAAACCTCAAAATGTTAAAAATTATAAATTAGTGCTAGGAATTGATTCTACGTAACACGTTTGGCACGCGAGTTCTAGGAACCCAGTGGAAAGGCAAAATTCGAAATCCCAGTACCCCACCACTGGTTTGGACTGTGGGACTGTATAGAGGAAAGATAACAAATTTACCGTGCTAACAACGCCACTGGAGCATAGAAAAATTCTTAGTTAAGTCTTTGTTAGATAAAACGTAGCGATTCTGATCGAAATTCTAGGTTATACATAGCGAAAAGTGTTGAAAATTTACCATATACAGTTTAATTTTCCAATATTCCCGCCATAGCACATGGGATTTCACATTGAAAGAAAGAGAACATCTGCACCGCCAATAGTTTGTGACAATCGTCGTAAATACCCGAACTGACTTTCAACCCGCGATATTTAAAACAGTGCACACTCGAACCGAATCAAACAAAACAAACTGCATATCACAATCAGTTTCTTATGAATAATTATACTTAATACTAATTAGAAAAGTCGAGAGAATACCAAATACACGTCGCTAACCCCTAGCAAACCAGCACTAAACTGCCAATATGGCGTCTAACGGTACGTCACGTGACCCAAAATAGTGACGTCGACTCTCCATCCCACCGTGTCTTAAAATTTTTTCACAACGTAAGCCCAAACGCAATTTTACAATAATTCAGAAAATCTATCGATTTCGCAAGTGGAATAAACAAGATTTTTCCTAATTTTATCCAAAATTTTACCTCTGTAAAATAATTCCATAATAAGTCATGCGATTTATTCAAAATAAGAAATTAAAGTTTGATGGAAAAGTTGTTTATTTAAATTTTTTAGATATTTAGTCGTTTAAAGTTGTTAAATTCGTTTAAAAATAAATTTGTTTAATCAAATTTGTCGATTTTGGGCGACTTTATGTCGTAAAATCATAGAAATTCGCGGTAGCCGGTTTCTAATTGATTTGATTGATTTCAAATTTAATTAAATCGCATACAGGTAAAATTTTCTTGCGAAAATATTCTACAAAATAGAAAATTACAAATTAAATTTCAGACACAAATAATACGATGATTAATTCCGTGGGCATGGGGGAATGGGAGTCTACCGCACCCGGCAAAAAACAGTCTAGCTCACTCCCCTCGGACTGGAGAATGGTTGCGCCCGAACCTCATTTTGTTCATGTATAAACTCTGTATCTAGTAACTTTTTCCCAACGCCTACTTTTGATGGTCTCCAACTCAACTCAATGCTTGTGGAGATTTATTTTTTTTATATATATTATATAAAAATATATACAGGGGGATCAAAAAGGTCTATCGAACCCATTAATTATGCTTAAAAATTTTTGCATCAATAGATGGAATTAGTTTTGAAGTTGTTAATATTTAGTTTGCATTTGTTTCGGTACCTATTTATTTGTTGAAAAAATTGTATTTTGACATACCTACAATAATAATCCGGATTAGAAAGTGGGGTATACCTTACTTAATGGTTCTGTATGATTTGGTTTTTAGATTGTTGCTTAAAAGTATAAATACCTAATTGGAATTGTCTGTGGCAATTTGTTCAAAAATATTTGTTTTCTTACGTCTTAC